AACTAAAAGCAAATCCTTACCAAGCACCAGGCACAACCGAAAACCTCTGTGTCCTTGCAATGCTTAGTCCTTATCCAACGCCTTCTATCAGTGATTTGGATGACTTTCTTGCCCTCAAGCTGGAGAACGAGCAACTGGCGCGAAGAATAGAGGTATACCTATCTCGTCTAAACTTATAGTGAACTTGACTATATCCCATTTAGGACATAAAGAGTGGTCACTTGAGCGATGAATCTTTTGGTGAAGATTCGGATGAAAATCTTGAAAATGGAGAAGGGCGTCAAGATACCATTGTGGACAAGTCCGAGAGAGCCCTTGCACAAGCCCAAGCCGTGTTGGGTGCTGCTACTGCTACAAATAACCAACCGACCACCTCGTCTGCTTATTCCTCTGGGGCACAAGGTGAATTGGGTGCAGATGGGCTTCCACCAAAGAAGAAGGTAAGCTCTACGGTCAACCTTGTCTTCATAAAGCCTGACGTTCGTCTTAGCGACGGGTCACTGATGCCCAACAAGGTAGAGTCTGCACTGCGTGCGGTCGAAACAATTCTCCTGAATGGAGAAAGGTGGGATCATTATCCTAAGATCATACACAGGCTGACCCATCATTAGGGTCCTCAAGGTCCTAAGACTCTCTGCAACGCTTGTGGCTTACGATGGGCAAAGAAATCGAAAGGTACACTAAAGGACGGTGATATTGACTAGTGATGGACTACCATACATGCCTTTCCTATGCCTTTGTTTGTACAGTAACGTATCGAGGATATCTAATGTTGCAACTCCCATTGAGAGACAAACCAACTACTATACAAAATACCGCATTTTAAACCCACTTGAAAGGGTTGTAATGAAATAGATTTTGGTTAGAGATTGTACCCAGAATATTAAACCCTCCAAGAGCTCTCCAATTGATCGTCGTGTTTCATGGAACATCAACGAGGACATCCTCCACAACGTAGCAAATCAACTGTCAGACAAGTTCCTGATGGATCTACACCACTGGGAATACTTTTTGACGAAGCATCGAACGATCTTGGGGACGGGAACGCGGAAACGGCGCAGAGCAATCCTGCCGTACCCGAACTTTTGTGTCCCTAAATCATGCCATGAAAAGTCAGAAATTTTGAAATAGATGTGGAAAGTAATTGAGGGAAACACTCACCCGTGGTTTGTTCTAAGAAAAAATCAGTTTGGTGCTTGTTTGGACAATATATCGAGATTAAATTACGTAAGCTAATTCCTCGGTAACTCTTCCTCTGCCAAAGCCGGCAGCGTGAAACTGGAAAGTATCTCGACCAGACTAGACCTTGGAAGCAACCATGTCGACGTCCAAACCAATGACTTTGGCAAAGGCGAATGATCTCATTTTGGGAGCATTCTCTAATGTTCCGCCTTCCCCAGAATTGGATCATGCCGTCCGTTTCCTGAGTACTTGGTCCGGAAATGACAAATTCTTTGGGGTGAGTAGGGAAAATGTTACTCTTTTGACTATTTCTGACTTTAACATATCTCATAGCTAGTGGAGAATACCGCCAAGATACTGGTTCCTCTTCTCGAAATGCTCGCTAGACGGCGCTACCAAGCGGGTTCCCAGAAGATCCCAGCAAGTGTGACTGCAGGAAGTTTGAAGAAACTTGGTGCCCTCATATCAGACTATCGAACATTGGGGAGGTTGTGGGGTGAGTATGGACGTAATTAGACTGTCACAACCTACTAAAACGTATAATACAGGTTTAATACCAATCTTTCAGTGGTTAATCTCACTGGAACGCACATCACCTCCAACCAGGCGCCTCTTAACGATCGAGAGGATTCAAGGACTGGCAATGCTCGTCTATTACCCATTCGAACATCTCTACTATCTTGGATCTCAAGGAATTCTTCCCATCCCCAAGCAGCGACTAGGGAAATACTCTCTTTGGTCTTGTCGCGCATGGGCTCTCTACGTCTGTCTCCAGTTTCTTCACCTCAGAGAGGACTGGAAACTTTTAAAGAGACGTGAGAGGGCCATCGCCAAGGATGCAGCAACGGGGGAGAAACATATGACGGTCGC